ATTCGGGCTATTCCAGGATGGCAAAGAGACCCATGAAGGTTGATCAACTTTGAATCATCATTGGTATTCGCACATATTCTGGAAAATGTGTCTGCTACGACGTTCAGTTTTCCTGGCCTATACAGTATATCGAATTTATAACTGGAGAGTTCCAAGCGCCAACGTTGTATTTTCTCATTTTTTATCTTACTCGTGTGGTTGGTATCGAACATAAAAGACACTGATCTTTGATCTGTCATCAGTTGGAAAGGACGTGCGATGAGGAAATGTTTCCATTTCTTTAAAGATTCAACTATGGCATAAGCTTCCTTTTCTACTGCTGAGTGCCGTTTCTCACTATCAGTTAGTGTTCTTGAAAAGAAATCAACTGGCCTCCCAGCTTGAGATAGAGTAGCTGCAATAGCAAAATCTGATGCATCTGTTTCGACCAAGAATGTGATGTTATCGTCAATTGCTGTCACCATCGATTTTGCTATGTCTGATTTCAATATTTGGAACATAGATAAAGCGTCCGCTGATAATGGAAAAGAAGAACATTGAATGAGAGGATGAATCTTTTCAGAAAACTTAGATATCCATTTTGCATAATGGGAAAACATGCCGACAGCTCTTCTGAGGGAAGCTTGATCGCTTGGTGGCGGTAGTTCGAGGAGAGGTCTGATGCGATCTGGATCTGGTTTGATCTGTCCATTACATATCGTATATCCGAGTAGATTTATGGCGTTCTGACTGAATTTTGATTTACTCTCATTGATTGTTAAATTATATTCTTCTGCAGCTTCAAAAAATGCTTTCAGATGCTGGTCATGTTCAACCTGAGCTTCCCCACAGATAGTTATATCATCAAGATATGCATATGTTCCTATCAATCTTTCTTGTTTGATAATGAAATCAATGATTCTCTGGAAGCATGCGACTCCATTGGTAACTCCGAATGGAATCCTACGAAACTGAAATAGATTTCCGCATGCCTCGAATGCTGTGAAATGTTTTTCCTTATCAGAAATAGGAATTTGATGATAGGCACTCTGAAGGTCGACTGTACTGAAAATCTTGTATTTAGAAACTTTGGAGATGATATCCTCTATATTGGGTAATGGATAAGCGTCAAGGTCTGTGAATCTATTGATTGTTTGCGAGTAATCGATTACCATACGTTTCTTATGATTAGCATTGAATGTCACCAAAACTTGAATGGTGAATTACTCTTTTCAATTATACCGTTCAAGAGGAGTTTTTCGACTTCAGACTCTATGAATTTCAGATCTTCCTGAGAGTATCGTCTTGATTTTATAGCAATGGGCTTACAATTTTGCTTCACATTCTGGAATAGAGAAACTGGAGGTATCATAGCTTGCGAAAGACTACAGATCTTGAGTGGGTCTCTAGTTCCATTGAAAAATAACTCAACTGCAGAATGATCCTTGAGGAAATCATGTCCTAATATTATGTCCGCACAAAGATTCTTCATGATCAATAGTTTGACATTCTTGTAGATTTGTTGGTTTAGTTTGATATCAACGACGCATTTTCCTTCTACTTCAGATATCAAGGATACGGATGCCATATGGATTCGTTCATTTGAAAAACACGTTTTGAATTTATAGAGGTGGGCGAAGGTAGCATTGATGAAACTTGTTGTGCTACCAGTATCTACGAGTGCCGTAGCTTTGATTCCATTGACGAAAACGCAATCTTTAGCTTTATCAAGTGATGCATTAATAACTATGTGCGAGCAAGAAAGTATTTCAGCAGCAGACACCATTTTCGCGTTATATTTCTTGCTTTGACAAACTTTGGATGTGAATGTGTCCACGTTTCTGTCAAGTTTCACATTTTCCCTTGGCAGCTGGACATTCATAACGAGGATGTCTAGAATAACCACAAAAGAAACACTTCGTATCGACTTTAGAAGTAGTTGCAACTGCTATAGACTCGGAAACTCCTAGGGAAGATTCATTAGGTATTGCATTTATGAATGATGTATTCGAAATATTGAAGTTATCAGAGTGACGTTGGGCCATTTCCAATGATCTAGCTTGATTGAATGCTTCGTCGAGCTTAAGGGTTTCATTTTCCAGTAATCGCTGGCGTATAGCAGCCGAAGATAATCCCGTAATGATGAATGAATCTCTTATATAGTCATCCTTACTCTCATCAGCTGATACAGATTTGAACTCACAGTCTTTCGCTAACAGTTTTAGTGCTTGTAAATATTGATCAACATTCTCTCCTGGCTTCTGGCATCGCGTTGCAAGATGGTGTCGAGCGTATATCACGTTCTTTTTCTTCAAGTAAACGGAATCGATTACTCTCAGGGCAGATTCGAAATCTTCACATTCATTTATGAGGATGTATACACTTGGAGCAACATGATTGATTAGTAGTTGTAGTTCAACTTCTGATTGTTCCCCTGTTCGTACACCAAGGAAATTTTTGAAGGTTTGTTTCCAGTGGACCCACTCCGAACTTGCAGAATTCGAGTTTGGATCAGCTTCGAAACGTTCTGGGCGTAAATATCTATCCATATCGGGTATTATGGAGAATTTTGCTCAATAAATTGTGAAGAATATTCAAACCAAAGGATTGGCTTTATTGAGCAAAATGATAGACATATCAGAATATAACAATATGACAAATGTCACAACTAAAAGTACAGTATGTTTCATAAACTAGATGAAGATGATTCATCACAATAAATAAGGCACAGATCCGACCTGTCCTGGAATACTGTTCCCATACTTGGAGGGCAACACCTAAACATGCCCTGAAATCTGTTGGATTCTGTCCAAAAAAGGGCAATTCGTCTCGTGGGTGATGCCACGCTCACAAACTCACTCACTTCTCTGGGACACCGTAGAAAAGTTGGCGATCTGGCTCTATTTTATAGATATTTTCATGGAGAATTTTCTTCTGAAATATTAACAATTGTTCCTCCCTTAGCAGTCCCCGCGAGATTAACCCGTCGAGTTGAGGCTTCGCACCTCTTCGTGGTAACTTCGGAGACCTGCAGAACATCTCTTTCCAAAGACTCGTTCATCCAACGAACAGCGAGGCTCTGGAACACATTGCCATGGGAGGTGTTCCCCGAGGCATATAACCTCCAGAAATGTATGAAGAAGAACACCAATTCCTACCTTATTTCCCTTGGTTCTCACGATGTTCTCTGAACATTACAGGATATCCCTTTTCGTGGGAACCAGGACATAAAAAAAGGAGTTGCATTGTTTTCAGGTTAGTATAATTGTATTGACTCTCCTTCCAGTCCAATTGGTAGGAAGATTTTGGATGCATCTCATGCAGTGCATACTTGTTCTAATTACTTGTGGAAGTTTAGAACGGCGCATTTTTCGAAAACTGCTCATCAAAAAATGATAAACTAGAGTACTGTTGGAAAGAGAATTGAAAGCCCTTTGAAATAATGTGCATCTTGAACACCTTTTCATATGAGGTTCTATGAGTTACATATCTACCCCTCCTAGGGGGTTGAACCAAGTGCCCCTCTTGAGAATGAAATTGACCTATCTTTTCGATTTTCCATATTATTTACTGAAAGGAAGATATTAAGAGTGGGAAGTTTTCTAATTGATACGGCATTTTTCGGAAACTGCTCAACAGAAAATTATAAACTAGGGTACCGTTGGAAAGAGAATTGAACGCCCTTCAAAATGATGTGCCACTTAACTCGAAAGGAATTCCCAGAAAGGATCATGAAATAAACCTTTGACGTTCAAATCGCGTTCAAACCATTACCTATATACTTTTAGTGAAAAAAAGTGCAACAAAATAATAGAAACAAACAAAACAAATTTTTTCATGCAAAAAATAATTATATTCTCAATTCAAAAATATTCACAAATATCACAAAATACAGTTACATATAGTTACTTATAAGATTTGGGTTTATGAAAAATAGAAACGAATAGTAAAAACGAACAACAAAAATACAAATAAATAAAGAAATTGAACGTAAGAATAAACAAACTAGCTGTTATAACAGAGGTTTATAAACAATTTAATTCGATCTGAATCACATAAAGTATTAACCTTTTTTGGTTTAAACTTATCATCAGTACCTATATGATATGTACATTATTACTAATTTTGCAAAATTAATTTAAACAGATAGGGTGCCGAAATACCATGTAATTCTAAGTGTATGTGGTTAATTAAAGATTGATAATGATATAGGTAATTATAATAATAGATGTGTCAAAATATTTTTCAGTAGATTATGAAATGTTTCAGTAGATCAATATAAGTGCTGCCCATCCTTTGCACTTCCTTTCACCGAAATCCCGAAACACGTGTATACGGTTATCTCTTTGTGAGGGCTATGTCCAATAATCTCTTTCCTATAGTCACTTTACAGTTCCCTCGATATCACTTTCAACTTATTGTTTTCACTCCTGGACACGGATGTCACGCAGGTAGCTATGGCTGCCTCCGTGGTGACGTTAGCTGTTTCCCTGAGACCTCAGGGTCTGCTGACCGAAACCACAAATGTGCGGCTGGCTTCTGTTTGTTGACTCCGTTTATTATTTGTTGTTTCGATTTTACCAATAGATCAATATGCAAATCAGGAGATCTACTGAAAATTCAGTAGAACTGGCAACCCTGCAGCGGACAAAAAAAGTTTGCGGACGAAAAGTTAGTGTATGCGGGCGGAAAGTACTTGCCTTTGGAAATGGTCGGTTTTTCGTTCGGAAATTAGAACGAAAAATGTGATTTTTTTGTGAAGGTCGACGTAAAAGTACTTTTTGCATTAAAGTCGTGCAATGATTATTATCTCTAATCGCCAGTGCCACTGACAGTTTAGAGAATATGCTGAAAAAGTATCGCCCACGCCTGCAGGCAGCTGGGGTCTAAATTTCAAATGTAGCGATTCGAGCACGCGTTGTGTTGGCAAGATGCAAGATCTTAAATTGGCGACAATGGAGATGTTTTGGCGCGCTTTTTATCTTCAAATCTGTTCAATGTCAAAATATTATCTGTCAAAAGTCAAAACTACTCAAAATCAAAACAATGCAACAGGATAATGATAATGGTATTAAAACTGTTCTGAAACTTTTGAATAATAAAAAAAAGTGGTAAATATGTGGTGCATTTTGGACGAAACAACTTGATTGGTGATTGAGGTCTTTGAATATTAAAATCATGGCAGGAGTAGAAGAGGAAATACCAGCGTTCTCAATGTGGAAAATGTTCAATGATACCATAGCAGTTCTGATTAGAGGAGACTGTTCTGAAAGTAGTGTCAAAAGGTTAGCGGCAATAATTCAGTCCAAGGAATGCTCAAATATCTTTATTTGTATCAAAGATGCTAATGTAACATTCCAACAGTACCAACAAATCAGTGAAAAGTACAAGGCATTCACTACTTGGCTACTAGGCCAGTTTTTTTATTTACTGGGATGTGAAAGATTCTCGAAACTTCATGATATTATCATAGATACACAACTCTGTATATTGGATCAGTTATCTAGTACTCAGCTGAATGTCTATCAGGAGTTGTCCCTGGAATATAGTAAAGCCTTTGATCTTGTGATGAATTATTATAAAACTCCAGTAGACAGGTTGTGCCTGGAAATTTTTGTTCCTCTGACATTTGATGATTTAAGTACAAAGTTGGATTTGACCCAAGTATACATGGAAATTAATTCTAAGAAGAATTCAGTGATGGTACTGAGTAAACTGATGAAATTTGTCAAATACAAATTAAAGGAAAACTTCATGTTTTATAGTTTTGATGAGTATACATACAAGCTATTGGATCATCTGATATTTTTAAGCAGTGAAATGGTTGAGGAATTATTGATAGACACCATGGAAATCTTTACAGAACTTCTCCTTGATACATATCATAGATTTGAAGAATATGATGTGAACATTAGAAGAACATTTCATTCATTTGCATCCTTATTGGAGCAGTATGTGTACAAATTGTTTGATGGATCTACAGTGTTGAACATCACAGACACAGGCAGGTTTGAATCATTACTGGTCAAATATTTGAAAATGGATGATAACCTGAAAAGGAATATGAGTAATGTTGGCAGAATAAATGAATTCATTTTCAATACTAGTTTGACCAAAAATAAAATTTTACCTTCTGAGAATCTACAAATGTTATCTGTTGAGTACTTGAGTAGATTACCACCAGATATCAACTTCTCAAACCATATTATACAGCATTTCAATTCAACAAATTTCACAATGCTTCATTATTTCAAAGACCAGATATGTCATGACATTTCTGAATGTGAAAGTATTTCACAAGGCATAAAAGTTTATGATGGAAACTTCAGCAACATTTGGAGACTACTTCATGATAAAATTATGACCAAATTAACAACACTCACCTGTGACTATGGATGTGAATTTCGTTATTTCTTTCCATTTTTCAAAGGCCTTTCAGATATGTTAATTCAAATCCAGTTATCATTAGTGAAAAACAAAGGTCACAAATGTTTGTTGTACTATTTTGATGAGAAAGAGTTGTTGCTACAGTTTATACTGAAATTTTTGAGGCATATGAATAAATGTGATGGAACCACTGAGGATGTAGATAATGCAACACATTTTTTATTGTTGCTCATGCTTCTTACTAGTTCAAGAAATATTGATATCATATTCAATTTCGTGGCATTTCCACTTCTGAAGGGTATATGCTACAAAAATGAAAATCAGTATCCAGACAGTTTTATTGCTGATGGGTCTATAGGGGATGTGAAAATGGCCATAAGATCATTCTACAAATTTTTGTCTGCCCAGAATATAAAGCAATCCACATGTTTGAGACAAATAAATAGATTCTTCAGGATTGTTTCAAGTGGTTTATTGACCCTAAATAGTACACATATCAATTCCATTGAAATATTGTATGTGAAAATTTGCAAGAATTTATTGGAATCCACAGATGAGGAATGTATTAAAATAGTGAGTAGTATTAGATTATCAACAAGTAAGCATCTAGATTATATTATGTTCTTTGGGTTTCCAGGTTGTTGAAACTTTTCCATATATTTTCACATTATTTGAAGATACTGATGTTCTGATGACTGATATTTTATACCCTGTATTTTCAAAACAGAAAGAGACTATTTTACAAGAGGCATTTCATATTTCATCCACTGTGATATGCTGCTCAAGTTCAGATTATACCAAGGTTATCATGTGGAATAAAACAGAGTCTATGTTAGATCTTAAAATATGCTGCAAAAAGTGCACATTCTCCAATAGATTGGATATGAAAAAAAATATCAACATTCTAGAAGATCAATTTGGAGATGATATTGTAGGTTTAAATTACACCAAAATCAATGTTGATGAACGAACCAATAACTTGATGTTGAGGCATGTACTTGCTTTTCTCAACAAAGGATCCTCAAATGTCAAGATAGAGTGTCTAGGGGTATTACCATATCTATCTAGCCATGCTTTACAGTTTCATTCACCAGGTGTCACTAAAATTTGGATAGAAAAAGCGGGTGATCTGAACAAAGATGTAAGAAAGTCATTTTCTGACATCATCTGTTCCACAATAGAACATTTCCAGGTAGCAAACTTTAAATGAGGTATTTTATGTAATATTTAATAATTGTTGTGTTCCAGGAAAATACAATTTTATCTACAAAAATCAAAACGGAAATACTAGATATTATATTAACATATTTACTCACTCTGACAAAAAAATCACTGAAACATTCTGATTTTGATTTACAAGACACCATACTGAGTACAATCGAGAGTATAATTAGTATCAAGTGTGAACAAATCATTCTAGACACAATGAAGATTCTCTTGTACTTCATAATGATACCAACCTCAAAATATCCTTTGATAGCTGTTAACAAATGTTTCAAATTGGCCAAACGAAATGAAACCAGTACTACTACCATCTATAGTCAGAACAAGAAAGAACTGTGTGAAGTTATTGTACAGTTGTGTACAGTGAATCAAGCTTTAATAAATTATGGATTGTCTACATCTCTACAGAAGGTGTCTTTGATGCTTGGTTTCTATGGTTCCAAAGAATTTGTTACTCAAGAGAGTAACCACTTGTTACCATTCTTTGTGTCAAAAATTGTTAAAATGCCTGCAGCAACTAGACTCATTCTGGAAATGTCAACACTTATGGAAACTGATGTTTCTGAGCTGTTGTCTATGAAGTATGGATACATTTTCATTTATGTGTTTTTGGAAATGTCTAATGAAGAGTTCAAGAAATGCATGCTTTATTTAGAAAAATCGACTAGTTCAAGTGGTCCTTCATTGCGAAAAAGAAATTTCAGGGTAAGCTGTTGGAAAAAAAATCAACAAATTATTTACTTTATTGCATATTATTATTATTAATATACTTTTTTAGATAATCCTCAATGAACTTCTGCTGAATTTCCATGAGAAAAAAGATAAAGTGGCATTGGCTCTGAAACTTCTAGCTGACGAAGATACAGAGACAAAATCAAGCTCAATACAGGATTATTTGCATTCACATTTTCTTGGAGTGCTGCTTTATTTTGATGTCAAGTTAATTTCCAAAAATATCAGAAAAGATAAATTTCTTCTTAGTTTGGCGGATTTATTCAGGTGAGTAACAGTTTGAGTATGTTTGGAAAGTTGTTGAGTTATACAGGGATAGTCAATTTTCGGTAGCAGGACTTTAACAGCTTGAGGAACAAATATTTCCAAGATGAAAATCTGTGAATATACAGGGTGTTCCTTAAAGAAATGCTAATATTTGAGGGGGTGATTCTTTGACTCATTTTAAGAAGAAAACATTGTATGAGCATAAGTCCTAAAAGTCTTAACTTTTGAGATACAGGGTGATGAAGTTTTGAAAAATATTCATTCATTTCTTGATAATAACTGTGACAATATTGTATACATCTTCATGAAATTTGGTACACGTCTCTAATGTATCAAGGTGTATTTTATGGTGTGCACAAATTTTCATTTTCTCCACCAGTGGCACCGTTACGGGAATTTTATTGTTTATATTTTACTTAACTGTGAGCAAGGACGGAAAATTTTCAAATTTTGTACATTGTTATGAAAGTCAATTCAACTATGTACAGGGTGATTCACCATAAATGTCCCCCCCTCTAGCTCAGTTATTTTTGAACCAATTTCAAAATTTGAAATATTATCTTAAATGATTCTCGAAGTTTTTTTGCTCGGAACAAACGATCTACAGGGTACTATTTGATTTTTTTAAATGGAACGCCCCATTTCTCATTGTATTTTCAGATTCTTCCTGAAGAGCTGATTTGATCAATGCATCACACTTGGGGTCAGTAGATAGTAAATCCAAAGTTGAGATAGGGACATAGAAGCCGTTTTGACCAATGATGAATAGTTTTGACACAAACAAATTCTAAAGTTGAAAAATCTCGATTTTGAACACCCTATATCTCTGTAATCATTCCCGCTAGACCCCAAGTGTGATGTATTGATGAAATCAGCTATTCAGGAAGATTCTAAAAATACAATGAAATACAGGGTGTTTCATTTGAAAAAATCAAGTAGTACTCTGTTGATCGTTTGTTCCGAGCACCCTGTATTTTCTGATGCAACGGAAAAAAAATCTGAAAAATCATTTTAGATTATTTTTCAAATTTTCAAGTCGGTTCAAAAATAAGTGAGCTAGAGGGGGGGACATTTATGGTGAATCACTCTGTACAAAAAAAATTCCTCTTGTTGATACGCGATAGAACGCTTCCTTTCAGAGAAAAAACGGAAAAACGAGACCACACTTCAAATTTTGATGTCTGATTACTCTATTCAGGACATCCATTACTGGAATACCACAGTATGTAACATTTTGAAATTTTCACACCGATTCAGTCACATAGCAGACTGAATTTTGCCATCACGCAAAGATACAGAGTGGACAATAAATAATCTATGCATATTTGGGACATTGACACCCTATTTCTCAAAAGTTGGGACATATACTAGATACGTTCATATGAAGTTTAATTCTTGAATTGGGTCGAATAATCGGCCCCTTGAATATTAGCATATCATGAAGGTACACCCTGTACACGGTGTTGATCATCTCCACAACATTTCAATATGATACAACAGATCAAATTACTTGGCACATGTTTCGGACATATATAGGTCCATCCTCAGCCTTATCAAGTATTACTACATATCCTGGATAAAAGTGAATGGTCCGAAACATTTTGGATTAATGAAAATGATGTTTACATGGGAATGAAAAAAGTTGAGTTACATTTTATCATAATGAAGTGAAAAAAAACGTGTTTCATTTTAAACCAAGGGGGGAAAGCCCAAAAACTCCAAATAGAAATATTATGGGGGATATGAAGGAATAGCCCACCACAAGGTGCACATCAGTGATAATTTCAAGTGGGAGAACAAAAACAATGTGTACCTGTCCATCTTGGTAGGACTTCCGCCGAGTACCTAACAAGATCATGTTTACATGATATTTTCATCTTGAAATAAAATCTATAAGCTGTCCTGCTTCAAAAAACTGACTCGCCCTGTATATACACTGACTATCTACCTATATACGTGACCACGGGATGTGTATGGTACGCTCCTGCGTTTTGAATGAATACCTCATCAATATTATTTTCACCTGATACAGAAAATAATCGGCTGATTGAATAATACAACAATATTTTTTTAATAAACCCTTTCAGTGCGCTCTCTTACGACGATGAATTGATAGTGAGAAACAAAAAATGACCATTACCAGAATTGAAAAAATGTATTATTGTCACTTACAAACAATGTCGTTTTTTACGGCTATAACATGAAATTGCTCTTGTTTTACTGTGTTCGATGCATCAATGAGGTACTTTGTACGTCATTAATTTTATTTCCGTATCTGATATCACAAAGACTCCATTGTGTTATTATTTCAAAAAAATCCCATCGCTCATGGATTGTCAAATTTCAAGCAATGACATCTCTGTCTAATAGATGAGCATTACTTGACAGGAAATCAGATGACTACAAGACGAAGAAATTAAAAAATGCGGCTGTTATCTGTTACAGCCATAGAAAAATTATAGTGTATAGCTCGCACGAAATGCTAATTTCCCACTCGAATGATTGCAGCATGAGCCGTAGGCGAATCCTTGTGGGAAATCACTATCATACCGTGCTCGTTAAACAGTATACTATTATTCAATACTGAACCTCATATAAAATATGCATGATTAACACTATTGATAGTATCTGAAGCACAAGAAATTTATTTGTTGGTGTTGGTACAGCTTGTAATTTACATCTGACAAATCATTATGCTGGAGGAGATTGGGGAACCCTTTTTGATATCTGTTTGAATCAACAAGTAAGCGAAGTGTTGATTATGTTAAAATTGCTTTCGTACGTGAAATTGCAAGTCATATAATCATAATGATAAATTGTTGAGAGGATCAGGAGTTGCAACTGAGTTTGATAGTAGTGCCAATAATTTTTGGAAAGGGATACAAAAAATGTCAAAACAGCAGTATCAAGTACATTTAGGAACTCTAGGGATACTGTCCCCTGAATTATTTAAGAAAATCACAAACCAATAGATGGCGCTGAAACGTCCAAAATATAAATTGGTCTTCCTAAAATCCATATTTCAGGTAACCAAATCATCAATCTGAGATATTTTCGAGGTATTGATCAACAATTATAAAAAAACAAAAAAAACACCAGTTTTATCACTTTATATTGTCTTCAAAATGGTTAATGCCACGCAGGACATTGAATTACATCCTCCCGAAATCTATGCATCGACTCGTATAAACGAATACTGATACAAGTGATTATTTCCTGAATGCCTATTGATTTCGATTTAGCCAGGCCGCTAGCAAGTGATTTTTGTTTGGCTAGGCTTCGCTAAGTCGGCGGTCTTAGGACTGCTGGCTGGAGACTACACTGCACTGATGAGAGTCAAAGATCTCGAAACCGGTCTGTGGTTGTCTAGTGGCCTGGCTAAATCGAAATCAATAGGCATTCAGGAAAGAATCACTTGTATCAGTATTCGTTTATACGAGACGATGCATAGATTTCGGGAGGATGTAATTCAATGTCCTGCGTGGCATTAGCCAGGGAAGTAGTTGTTTTTCTCCCGAAATCTACCATTGTTGTTCATTTTATGAACATTGTGTGGAAATGACTTTGAGCATTTTGAATTTATTTAATCTCAATATAGATTAATACTATTTTCCTTCATGAATATCTACAATCTGCACACTTCATATCCTCAATTTTTTTCACCTCGCATGAATTATGAATTTATGCACTTCGTTTTTGGGATTTAAAGTGATGATTGGCATTTCCACCAGTGATACTTTGCAGCAAAACTCAAGTATTACCTACAATTAATTGGTAGGTCGGTAGGAAGGTTCATCTTCCTCAATTCTTTTTGCGTTTTTACGTGATGACTTTGATTCTCCGCACTAGTGTTTCTTTACACACCACTCAAGTATCACAATAATTTGATAGGAAGCCACATCTTTGAATCAAATCAAACCTGCCTTCATCTTTCATTAATATACCCGCACACTTTTCCTGTTCATTTCATTTAGGGTTCTCACGTTTTTTTAAACCAAAATGTGTTGTTATGTTCGCTTATTTATATTCATCAAGTCTTTCAACATTTTCTATTTCAACATGTACACAAGGTGAAATACAATAGAAAACTGGTATATTCTACTACGTGTTGAATCTCTTCATCGAACCTTGCTTGATGGCGTCAGTTTCTATATTATCTTATATGTTATCAATATAATTATTTATCTCATAAAAGTGTCGGAACAACATGAAACATTTATCAAATATCAGAGATATGATATTTTCTGAAATACAAATGACTATTCTGAAATTCAATTGACGCTTTCTGAAATTCAATTGACTCTTTCTGAAATTCAATTGACTATTCTGAAATACAATTGACGTTTTCTGAAATTCAATTGACTATTCTGAAATACAATTGACGCTTTCTGAAATCCAATCGACCATTCTGAAATACAATTGCCGCTTTCTGAAATTGGATTGACGCTCTCGGTAATACAACTGCAAAAGATGAAGTAAAATCATTCTTCTGATTTTAGGTAAACGGTGTCAACCAGCCGCCATATTGATTCTAACCTGATTTGGATTGCTTAATTCCTAAATACCGGGAAATCGCAAATTTTTTACATCCTTACCTTGGTTGTTTAGCACTTTTATTTTTGAATTGATTTACCGTTGCTTAATGAAAGTCCATAGTAAATGTAAAAAACTTCACCAACGAAGAGATATCCACAAAATTCTTCGCTAGCTTCTTCAGGTGAAATACTTACACAAAAAACTTAACTTACATTGGCTTGTCGAACTTTTATATCCTACTTTCTCAACCTGAAGGGTTAGAATTTCCTGCGGAATGGATCGATAAACCTTCATTGTGCCTACTTTTCCAAAATAAAGGTGCCTACTTTCCGAAAATGAAGGTTTATTGAACCTTTCCACAGGTAATTCTGATCCTTCAGGTTGTGAAAGTAGGATATTAAAGTTAGGCAAGCCAATGTAAGTTTAGTTTATTGTACCAGTATTTCACGAATATTTAGCGAAACATTTCATGTGATTAAGATTTTTATGGAAATATTATCATTTGTGATGTTTTATCACTTATATCGTTAAAAACATGCACTATTGTGATTTGTGATCACGATTGGCGATGATCCAATGTTATGTGTCCATCTCCAATAATGAATAAAAATTCAGGAGGTTACCATACCTCGTGGTCACCCCCTATTTCCATTTCCTCTGATGATGAATGAGTTTCAGGTTCATGGGCTCGAAACATATAATGCCTCTACGTTTCAAAATAATTGCCATGCTGCAGACAACGAATTATGGTAGCTTTCCCCTACTAAATTGTGAAGTTTGGAATGCTTTCATACATACTTGCGATATCGAATCTCTAGGGCCCCAGTTGGCACTCATATTTGTATCCATTTTACCATTACTTGAACATTGCCCAAAAGAAGTGAACGGAATCTTCAACTATCTTTTAATAAAAAATGAATCCAAGTTGAAAAACTATATCCCAGACTTATTTTTCGTCAACGATGCGAAAGTGGATCATGAGATATTGCTACTGATCAAGAAACACTTGAAGCCCATAGAAAAAGGCACGCTCAATGAAAAAATCCAAAAATTTCTAAAGTATCTGACACACGAGTCTGTGGAGGTTCGCATCCAAGGTTTGAAGTATTTGAAAGGCTATTTGGAACAAAGTAGGGAAGAGCTGGATCAGATGATTCTCGATTATAATGGGATTAATCCAGTCATCGTTGAACTAATCGATATAATAACGTTGGGATGTAGGGAAAAGGATGAATCGCTGAGGCTAGCATGTGGTGAGGTTATGGGAGAATTAGGTGCTATTGAACCCAGTCATTTGCCAAGAAGGTAACTATTTGGTAAAATTCACTCAAAGTGTTTCATTATTAAAGTTACAGGTATACACGTGATGAGAGGTCATTTTCCTTTTACATCAATGAAGATTCCTTTATTGTCAGTTCTCTAAATGAATTGATCAAAGCACTACAGACAGAAAAAAACACACAGGTATGGAAATCTTTAGAAAATGACTTCATGTATCAAGTCAGTAAATATGAATACATGGAAAAAAGATATTCAGAAACAATAGCAGATAACATATTTTGAAAGATACTAATTGATTTTTCTTGATTTTTTAGGGATTTTCTATCCTCGTTTCTATAAAATAAAAATATGCGTATTATTTCAATATATTTGTAGTGAGACAGATCAGATGATTTGCCCCAGAATGTCACTGCGTTTAACAAATGTTTTTATCAGGGAGCCTAAAAGAAAAATCCAGTAGCTTGTCAGTGACACTTTGTTTGAAAAAATGTTTGAAGAAAAGAAATATGGATATATTGAAAAATTATCGAATTTTTACTTATCTTTGGACGTTTCGGGAACGAATCAGCTCCCGTTCACAACATGAAAATGCAAAACATTTTTCTTTGGAAGTTGTGCTCTTATAGTTTGAAACTTCCCAGTGTCATACTGATGTTGGCATATGAATGAGTGATTTTAGTCTTCAAATGAGTTACAGGATGTTTTCAATTATTGATCTTGAATCTACCATTTTCATGTTCAGTTTTCAGTAGTGAATACCTTGTTCTATCTATATAAACTGGACAGGAAGCAATGCTATTGTCTCCGTTCAGAAGAATGCAAGCGGATTCCTTGATTTTTCTTTTTTGGTTGTTATCTTCCTTTCCTATGATTTTGATAGTATACCACGCTGCCATATGTTGTCCATCTTCAGTAAGGATATGTTCAGTTAGCTTCGATTTATCGATATGTCTTTTCTTGATATTGTACTTGTGTTCTTTAGTCCTTACTGAGAGAGGTCTTTTCGTTTCACATGTATAATACTTTCCAAAAACACAAGGTATACTATAAATACAATTTTTTTGATGATTGTTCTTCATTTTTTTGGCTTTGTTTGAGTTAAAATGGATCTCATTGTATTTTCAGTTTTGAACACAGTTTTCACTCGGAACTTATCACCAACACGTTTTATTCTTTCAGATATGCCGGGAATGTACGGTATTATATTCGTCGTTATTGATGGTTGTTTTTGTAGTGGCGTCCTTTGTTTGTTTTCAATTTGGTGAATCGTTCTATCAATGGAGTTCTTTGGATACGAGTTGAGTTGAAGAACATCTTTAATGCGGTGGATTTCGTTATTGAAAATTTGTTGGTTAGATGATATTGATTTGGCTCGATCATGAAGTGATCTGATTATTCCTTTTTGGATAGTTTTCTGATGATTTGATTGAAAATTGAGGTATCTGTTAGTATAAGTCTTTTTACGATATACACTTGTTACGGAAACATTGTTTGATTTTTTAATAAGAACATCTGAAAATGGTAACTGATTGTCAGATTCAATTTCCAAAGTTAACTTTATGGTAGGTTCGGCATTGTTCTACAGAGTGACCCATTTGAAAGCGGGCCACCCCTGTATCTCACGTAATCGTTGAGTAAGGATCATGAAATTTGGTGGAGCGAGATATATACCAAAAATGCACTGAAAGTGAAAATCACTTCGGATTCGGAATCAGGACGCCCAATTCACTAAATATTCATATTTCTCCTTGAAAATTTTCAGTTCTGAAACATTAAGTTTTGTCGCACTTTTCATGGAAGCACCCCCGTATCTCACGTAATTATTGAGGTAGGGTTCTAAAATTTGCAGGAGGAACGGAAAGTCCAAAGATAAAGTCAATTACGTGAGATACGGGGGTGCTTCCGTGAAAAGTGCGACAGAATTTAATTTTTCAGAACTGAAAATTTTCAAGGAAAAATATGAAGAGTTAGTGAACTGGGCGTCCTGATTCCGAATCCGAAGTGATTTTCAACCTATTTTGACTCCTAATATAATTTTCCGGAAATTGGGGTGGTTCCATGGCTGTTGGCGAGCAGTGTATATCACTGAAGATGACCCCACTTGGTCATAGAGTGCATTTTTGGTATATCTCTCGCTCCAGCAAATTTCATGATCCTTACCCAACGATTACGTGAGATACAGGGGTGACCCGCTTTCAAATGGGTCACACTGTATGTTGATCATTTCGTCAAATGTCACTAATGTCAGTAACAAGGCTACTGGGTGATTCTTAGTAGTTTCCGGATGAATGATGAATTCGCGAACCAAGTTTTCTTCATTGCAGGAGAAATGAGAAGTATAGTCGACGGAAAAGTTTTGTAACGTTAAAATATCTCGATCATTAATCGCCCTCATTAATACACTAGTTGGTTAAATAACTATTAATCATTTACATCATAAGTTGAATAAGGTTCCTCTCTTTCGACAGTTGTAGAAAAAATACTGTATATAACTATTTTGAAATCTTGTCCTTTCGCCCATGTTTGAAAATTATATGTACAGGGCTAGTTTTATCAATGTGAACTCCTCTTTATCTTTTTTTTACGTATACAGAACATTTGATGACTGATTTTATACAATTTTTCGCACAGATTTCACTCATATTGACAATGATGCAATATCTCTTCTAATATACAGGGTACACAGAAATGAATATATTTTTCAAATGAAATAGATTTGAATTTCTTGAATCATGCTGATTTCAAACATATATGTACAGGGTGTTTCTCAAGTACGTGTAGAAAATTCAGGAGCATGTTGCTGACGTCAAAATAAGAAAAAAAGTTCGTATAAATATATGTCCGAAAGTTATTCGTTTCTGGGATACAGTGTCAAAGTTGTATTCTTGATAAATTTGATAATAATTGTGATAAATTTCATAATAATTGTGATATTCGAATGAATTTTGGCATCTAGGGGTATTTTTCAATGACAATATCAAATTTTATGTTTATGTTGTTGTTTATGTGTCATTTTTCTTCATTCTAAAACAGTATGTTGACGAAATTGATTACAGTAATTGTTTCACCTTGCATCATTATGCATGCGTCTGCTCGTGGTCTCATGATCCGTTGACGAAGTTGATCTTCGCTTTCTATTGGCACCATATAAACTAGGACCTTCAAGTGACCCAACAAAAAATCGATTGGATTCAAATCCGTGGACCTCGGAGGCACGAACTGATTTTGAACTTCAGCTCCTTGGCCAATCCATCTGTATAGGAGAATATTGAATGGAAGAAGAAAAATGCACTGGCGTATTTTTTCTGATATTTACTTCTTAGAGGCGACTAACGAACCCCATGGAAATAATTCAAATGCATCGATTATTTCACATCCCAATAACGCGAAAACAGTTGCTCGCAGCCACCTCCACCAAGAATATATTTTTTACACAAAAGTGTTCTAATTCATTTTTCTACTATAAAATGTGATACAGGTACGCACAAAAAAGTTATGACTTTTCAAAAGACTCACGAAAGAAACAAACTAATATAAAATTTGATATTGTCATTGAAAAATACCCATAGAAACCAAACTTTATTCAAATATCACAATTATTTCGAAATTCATTAACAAACAAAAATAAGAATTCAACTTTGACATCCTGTATCTCAGAAACAAAGAAAATGTAGGGGGGTCACATTGATAAAACTAGCCCTGCACATGAATCTCTTCAACTTGGTGCTTGATACATATTTCAGAGTATGGACAGGTACGCCCTTGCCATACAGGAAATTCTGAAAGGGTACGAAATTTCTCCAGATAACAGCAGTAGCAGATTTGATCTATGGAATCAATTTCCTGAAACACAGAAGGAGGTTATGTTGCCTTTGCTCTCTTCAAGATATATGATTGCCCATTCAGTATTACCTAGTAATCTTCCTACACCTATATATGGTTCAAACTCTGGAGCATCTTTTCATTCTTGGTTATACAAGTAGGTGAATTTGAGTGAATTTACGATGGACTTCTACCACAGATTATTTTTTATTTTCATTTTCAAGTTGGACTTCAAGTTTAATATCCGTGCTCCCCGATGAAAGGAAGGTATTATTGAAAGTAACTTTACCGAGTATGAAGCAAGACAAGCGGATTTTAATGCATTTTTTGCCACATGTCCTACTTCATGCCTTACTGGAAGGTAGTGACCGAATAGCTGAGAAATGTTTCGTTGAAATTATCACTATTACTAGTTCTTTTTCAAAGAAGAAATCTATGGATGAAAAAGTACTCAATGTATGTTGACAATTCCCTTGATTTTCTTGTATTCAAAGTGAATGAATGAATCAATGACGGCTAAATATCTGGACTGTTTGACGGGTTATACATGACTGTTCATTCAGCGAAAATCGCCAAATCGCCCTGTAATGAAATTTTGAAGGGACGGCAAGTGGCGTCATCTTTTTCCTGTGTCAAATGGGCTATTCAACATAACCTGCATTATTTGTTGATAAATTTTCTCACTGTCAGCCTGTCACTCATTGTCACTCGAGATTGGAGAGCTTTGTTCGAGATACCAAGTAAAAATGTGAAAAGGCCAACAAAATGAAGTGGTTAGGAGTGTTCATGCCAAATAACGCTATTATATGCATAAATAATAATGCCATTCAAGTGGAAATCATCAGAAAAGTGTACATGAAAAATCATATTCTTACCAATGCCTTCGAAAATAAAATTCGACCATTCTTGCTGTGGAGTTTATCACTGATGGGTATGAGATTCGAAAAAGCAAACCCGATATTTGATCCGATTATTCATACATTTCATTTCATATGCTAGAAGCCTGTAAATACATGATGAAGACACAACTAGCAAACCTGAATAAATAAACTACCAGAACTAAACACAAAGAAGAATGCTTGATTGAATGAAAATCCGAAAAAGTGAAGGAATTTATCGATATTTAACAGAACACATCAGGGACCTGACAGTGACACAGTTTTGACACTTGATAATAATAATAATTCAATATAACCTATGTTATTGGAAAACAACCGAATAAGAGCTAAACAAATGACTTCTCCGCAAAGGACGGCAAGTAAACCCCTCTGGTGGAGAATACACTGAACTGAGTGATTGGACAGTCATGTAGTACTCGTCAGACAGTCCAGATATTTAGCCGTCATTGGAATGAATGATAAGGATGTGCGCTCATTTTCAGCTTAGACCTATTCCAATTCCTGGTTTGGCTGGTGAACCGCAGGTCATCACCCCTGAAGAAGTCAAGCAGATGCAGTGTACCAAAGTTGTGTTTATATTGTTAGATTTCTTGGATCGTTGGGTCAGAGAATGGCAATGGCAAAAAGGTTTAGCAGGAAGGTCTAATGAACATTTCCAAATAATCAAAGTAAATACCCACTGATTGTTCGTTACATTCACTAGGGTTTAATTTTTATAATTATAATATGTTGTAGGGTTTTCAAAAAGAACTCTGTAAGCTGCAACTGGCCAAATGTAACTATCATTGCGGAGAATATCCTAGAGCACTGATGTATTTGGAGGACTATATAGCAGATAATAAAGCTGAGATATACAATAACCTTACTTTCCTGGCCGAGGTAAATACGAATCATGGAGGTTGTAGACTTATTGTAGATTATTTTCAATATTTCAACATCCGAAATCGTTCTGCATTCCGATACATGAAGTAATAAACATGGCGGTTGAGGTTGAGGAATTGTTGTTGATGGTTTTTTAAATATTTCAATACCCAAAATAATTGTTCTGGAGACCATGCCATAATAAAAAAAAATTGAAATGTTATCAAAATCAAAAAGACGATATACTGGTAGCTATCGGAAAAGTAATTCGAGATATACAGGGTATACTTATATTTGTATCCCTACACCTACAACATCAACTATACGAGGTGGAAAAAAACTTCAAATATGAAAGTTGTAGGGTTTCATCTGTACTATCTTTTGGCACCCCTTAAATAAACAAATGCGAATCGCAAAATAGAAAAAAGAATCCGAAGCAGTTTTTTAAATGGAACACCCTGTATATTTTCAACTGTCGTGAAAGATCGTTTTCTTCTGTTCACAAATATATATGTTCCCTTGCGCCGTTTTCGCCTTAATTCTTGATGCACTACTAAAATGTTTGCGATATCTTCATATTTTACTATTTCGTATTTTTCCTCTACGAAATAACCTATTATGATTGAAAATCCGACAGAGATGTCAAAAAATGTCTGTTTTGTTTCCATTGCACTTCTGGTGTGTCCACAGCCATCTACATGTTATTGGCAACTTTGATTCCATACTAAATAAGTGAAAAATGGCTTGAGAAAACATTAGCAAACTTTATACAGGCTGACTGACAAAAAACGTCCCGAGCCATAGCATCCCTATCAACTATCCGATTTCAAAAAACAAAGAAGCAAATTAAATAATTCAGATTCTACAAGGTGACACTGAGAATTTTTTTTTAATTTCAACTCTAACTACAGCAATTGCAAACTATATTTCAGATATATCAAGAACTTTCTAACAATCACATTTTTCTTTCTCTCCTCTCACAATTCACAAAATTTCTATTATAGGCAGGTTCTTATCTGGAAAAAATTGTACTGGAGTAGGATACAATCAGTTGATCAATAGTAGTTTACCTAACAAGTGCGGAAAGTGATGCTTTTCCGTACACCATTGCAGATGGCCGAACGACGCGTTAGCGGGGTTCGGCCATCTGCTTGGCATGGAGTTGTTTTGAGCTATGCGCGTATCTACAGTACATATTTTTTTGTTATTTTTTTAAATTTTTTAGTGCTTACCTATGGCTACTATTATACAGGCTGATTCACGGTGGATGGCCCATTAGATTTTTCTGGAGAACGCAACTCAGGATTATTCTGAAAAGTTGGTGCCTTGAATAATCAGTTGTGTTCTATCGACCAAAAATATTCTCAGCATTGCGACGTTGTCGCTTATATTGAAAAAGTATCAGCAACTGTGATTTTTTAAATAGGACACCCTGTATATCATTCCATTTTCGCATTTTTCCTGGAGAGCTGATTTCATTTTCCTAACACTTGGGGTCTAGCAGTAATAATAACAGAGTTATAGGATGTGAAAAATCGGGATTTTTCAACTTTAAGAATTTATTGTATCCAAACAATTCATAATTGGTCAGAACGGTTCTAATGTCCCTATCCTAACATTTTGACCACCCTGTATATATTTCAATTCAATATCAATTGATAGTACGTGAACAGTCAAGATAGGGACATGAAAAGCGTTTTGACCAATTATGAATAGTTTTACAAAAAATTCTTAAAGTTGTAAAATCTCAATTTTCCACACCCTATATCTTTTTGTTATCATTCCCGCTAGACCCCAAATGTGATAGATCGATGAAATCAGCTCTTCAGGGAGAATCTGAAAACCGAATGGTATACAGGGTGTACCATTGAAAAAATCTGAGTTGTTGCTACTTTTCAATATAAGCAGCAACTCGCAGCGCTGAGAATAAACTAAACTGATTATCCAAGGAACCAAATGTACCATTCACCGTGAATCAGCCTGTATACTTACACCTATTTTCATTCTCTCAGTATAATTTGCATTTTGATGATTGATACCCTCCAAAAGGCATACTGGGTGAAATCACGTACGAAAATGTGTCACTACCTGCCGGTTTAAGTTGGAATGAGAGTATGTGCTGCTGGAAAAAGTATAATTTTTCAGATTTATGCACAATTAGAAGAACCAGATGGAGTTGATGGTGCAACAGCCCTCCAACTGAACGAACCCTCTGTAGAAGAAAGAATCCTCGCTCTTGAAGTTTCTGGAAAATTAGCAGATGCGACAACTTGCTATGAACATATGCTTCAGCCACTCAAATTATATCATATTCAGGTACAAGTGATCACCTCAACTTCACAGATATTAAGTTTGTGCTTGATTTTTATTCTCATTCTGAGTGTTTCTTAAGTCAGTGTCAAAAAATATAGGTGCGTGTCAATCTTGGAGTGTCAGTTTAGATCAGGTCATCAAATGCAGATTCAAGAGGGTAATCGGATAATTACTTTCCGAGCGCAAATCGAATCAAGCAGCTTCAATCAACTGTTTTGAAATGAAGTTTATTTATCAGAATATCTAATCTAAAAGAGATAATTATGTTCGACGTACGTAATCTTTTTTTGGAATATTGCAAATAATACAAAATACACTATTAAAAATAATTTTCAAGAAAGACATAAAATACTCGACAGATCTCCTCTATACTGAAACAAGAACTTTTAACGTCAGACAAATGTTTTTCCAAAGTATATTGATATATCAATTTAGAAACAGAACGCAGTTTTCCATGATTTCACACACCTTTCAGACAAGAGCAAAAATTCAAAATTATTCTGATACACCCTTATTTCCTCATGAAGTTACAGGACAACGATGCCATGCGTATCTTGGGCTCAGACTTTTCAATACCCTTAGCTCAGAACTCGAGACAATCTACTACATTATTCATATTTAAGAAGAAATTGAAACAATACATTATGAGTTTGCATCAAATGCAAGTTCACAATCTAGTTGATATGAAAAATCGAGTGAAAAATGCTCACTATAGAGAACATACAGGGTGTCCGTTTTTCGAGCTCCACCATGGGGATCTCAGTTATTATAGGTAATACTAGGTCGGTTAAATTAGGGCAAAGTTGCGAATTTTCATGCTGAACATTTATCTGCAAGAAAATTCGATGTGTCATTTTCAGTTTTCGAATTGTTTGAAGAAAACTAAAATTTGTAATTTTCGTTGTTATTTTTTCATGCGGAAACCAAAAGACCTAGACGTTTCTGACTAGAAGATTCCCTAGGCACTTTCTCACAAGGAATCTGAATCTGTCATCGTATTTTCCATGACGTTCTTGATGCCAAAATTTCAACACTCAACTTTGTTTTTTCTTATAGACGCCATATTGGATTTTTGCATTTCAGATAGTATTCGTTTTTCTGATAACAATGATGTATCATACGTTATGATCGAATCTTTCCTGTCGATCTAAATTGTGAGAAAACCATTTTTGCGAAGAGTGCTTTGGAAGGAACGCCAACAGTTTTGTTCAACAAACTGAATTTTGACATTTCAATTGAATATGCGTTCAGAACTGTTGAATTTTTAAGCTTATCCACATAACACAAGAAGGGTTGCCGAGTGTCTGTCAGATATGTTTCCTGAGAAAGTAATTTCCAATAACACACATAACACATACGCTGGCCAGCGCGGTCACCTGATCTCTCTCCGCTGGTTTATTATTTATTGGGAACTATGAGAGATTTGGTTTTGAAAACTGTACCAACCGATGTTGATGAGCTAAGAAGAACCATAAACACCACTTTCAGGACTAGGATAAGAAGACGGAACATCTCGCGAGCAATTCAGAATCTGAGGAAACGCGTGGAATTGGGTTTCGAAGTGGAAGGTGGAGTATTCGAGCATCTTTTATAATTGTGTTTTGTTTTGCGAAGAATAAACTTTCAGTTCATTACTTCGTTCCTAATTCAGAACCATAGTTTTTAAGTAGATGAGCTTGACGAAAATGTGAACGTTCCAGATCCAAATTCAAATAAACTTTCGAAATTCAGCTTGTTGAACGAAACTGTTGACATTCTTTCCAATGCACTCTTCGCATAATTGTTTTTTTCCCAATTTTGATCAACAGGAAAGATTCGATCATATCGTGTGATACATCATTGTAATCAGAAAAAAAAAGACTTAAAAAATGCAATAATCCAATATGGCGCCCATAAGAAAAAACAAAGTTGTATGTTGTAACTTTGGCATCAAGAACATCATGGAAAATACAATGACAGATTCAGATTCCTTGTGTAAAAGTGCCTTGAGAATGTCCCAATCAGAAACGTCTAGGTTTTTTAGTTTCCGCTTGAAAAATATATACAAATGAATACTTGATAATGATGATTAAAAAAAACAAAGAAACAAAGATAATTCTCATGAATATTATTTCGATCCTTCGTGTTAATGCAATGTCTCTTTTAGGTTTGAAGGTATGTTTATATTGACTATTATAGTATATTACATAACAAGAGTTGTAAAACGCATATTACGCACGAAGTGGAGAGAGTTACACACTGTGTAACTCCACAAGTGCGTAATTGCTTTACAACTCGAGAATTGTACTATACTTTTTCTACGACTACACTATATTTTCTTCCGGATAGTGCAGATATTGTATTATGGCACAAATAACGAATACCCCCCGTCACTAAACCAGCTGCATGAAAAGTTACAAATCAAAGTTTTTCTGTTTGTTTATTGATACATTGCATACTGACACATTTTTCTCAATTCCAACTGAAATGGAGCCGTTTTTCATATATAAACAACTTTATTAAAAGCAGAAAACACATTATATAAAAATATGAAATCAACATTCATAATGGTTATTCATTGTAACAGTGCAGAACGAGAGATTCTGTAATCGTTATCAAAAATAATAAAAAAAAGCTCTCCAATTGCGCTCTGAACCGCCGACTTTTGGCTTCGGAACCAGCGCTTCCAACAACTGATCCATCACCATTAAATTATATCAGCAGATATTTTATAAATACTACTTCGAAGATTGATTTTTCCTAATTATTCCTGTTATTTAAAGAAAACGGAATTCATCAAGTCAATGTTGAGTATATGTATGTTATTTGAAAAATTACCTTCATGAATAAATATTCATCAACAGGAGCATTCTGCAGAAAATAATTGATCTGTTCAGCATTAAGTATTTTCGATTTTTTACTTCGGAATCCATCTGATTTCCTTTCGAGGAAATGGGATATGTTGCTATATTGATATTGTGATTGATATTTAGTGTTGATCGTAACATGGAATATATCTACCAAAGTGATGATGATTTCATCGCATTTGATAATTCTTGAAAATATACTAAAAGGATATGTTCCGAAAACGACACGGTATTATTTCTAATTCTCCAGTCCAGGAATTATTGATGTGCTATTTCGTACCATTCACGAGACTTAGCGGGTAGCAACTCATTTTTTGCCATTATTCTAGCTTTTTCCAACATTTCTGGTGGTGTAGAAATAATCTGCTCATCGTCATAGCTACTGACATTAATGAAATAGTTAATTGTTATTGACACATCGCCTAAGCAAAAAAACAAAGTCATCTATCAACATACCACACGTGTGTAAGGAGAAGCTTACTGCCATTGTTTTGTGTATAATATTCATCACTTACAGTAGTAGTCGTAGGAAAAGTATATTACTTGTATGTTTAGACAAATTCTTTGAATATGTGTATGAACGCTCTGAACAGCGCAATAAGCTACATAAAAATGAACTTTTTTCTTTTTTCTTTTCGTTTATTTCATGTATATTATTCATGTATCAAGTAATCTGTAGGTACCCACTTCTAATGCTTTCGTGAAATGAATTGATTGATTGATTGATCTGTATTTCGGCCTACGGTACATATTGTATCAAAATATTATATATATTTCCATATGATATTGTCACAACATAATAGATGTTTCCACCATGTAACGATATAGTAGGTGGTTAGACCATCCATTATCGATTTATAAGGGGTTTGCTTGGCTTGCGAGAGGTGATATTCGAATAGGCACTAATAGTTTAGGGGTAACTGAAAGTACGAGACTATATTCAAACATAACAATATTTAATGAAGCATGAAACATTATGGGTAGCAATGACAAATATGAATAATCAACAATGAATATAAAGACCTAATAACAACTTACATTATAACGACCATCACGACGAGCTCTTGTCAAGTCAAGAGTAGCCCCAGACCAGACTAACTTCGGAACCCTCACATCCAATATTTATATACAACATTTTATTAGATATGCACGTTTCTCATGAGAGTTCCTTGGTCAGTTTTTATAATTCAATGTCAACGGATGATTTGATTTACTTTATGTTTATAAAACCCTCATGGTTCGAAATTACTGATATACCGTAAGTTCTACTCGTGACATGACCCCTCTCTCTCTCCGAGAAAATTGGACCCCAGTTTTGAAATTACTACCTAACTAAATTATCGAGGAGAACATTAATTATTCATTTACATGTACAAAAAGTTTCAGAAAAAAAAAATATCCACAAACATTCAAAGTTTAGTGTCTACAATGCACACTCACACCTTAACTTAGTCCGGCACTGGCTATTCAACTGAAGCATGTCAATCAGACTCTTCTCGGTGGGACTTCTGGCAGCTCGGGGGTAGGGAATGATGATTGGGAATGGCATCATCCAATCATCATGGGAATTCCGGCAGGATCCTTTTGGACTCGAAGGTATCCGTGTCCTGGGCATCGGGATTAAATCTGTTGGGCTTTGAGATTTCCTAGACTGTCCTTCGAGGTAGTTGGCAGCTGAACGAAGGGAACTGCTGGCTTCTTGGGGTAGCGACTGACGACTGATGGTCATGGCATCCTTCAATCGTCGTGAGAATTTTGGCGGGATCCTTTCTTGGGCTCGAAAGGTATCCTCGTCCTGGGCATAAGGATGGAATCTTTCGGGCTCGGAGATTCCTTCATGGTTTCTAGCAGTTGATTGATAGGAAATGCTGGCTGTTGGTAGTTGCTTTCATGACGGCACAACATCTTGGTCCATTCGTCTCAATGCATAGCAGCTGATTGATAGGAAATGCTGGCTGTTGGTAGTTGCTTTCATGACGGCACAACATCTTGGTCCATTCGTCTCAATGCAGCTACTGACGGCTGATCAGGCATCTCTAGGGACGAATTTCGTGGACTTCCAACGGCACACTTCGAGGAGCTATCCACAACTTGTAACATCCCCACTTGTCTCCTCTTCGTTGGGCTACCCAGCAGCTTCTATTCATTTGTCCATTC